GCACACTCTCGCCCTTCCTGGTGTTGGCAGAGCATCCTGTTTGGGCATTAACTCTTGGTACGGGGTCTTCGTTGGCAAGTGGGGAATGGTAGGGGGTGTTCGCTCTGCGTGGAAATTGGATCCCTACCTTGCATCCAGATCCTCCCATGTTTAACCCGCCGGTTCTCCTAGAAGAGGGAGACCTCAAGGTCGAAGATTTGTTTTGTCCGGTAGAGGGCCGCTGGTTGCCTAGTGGTTCCCCCCTACCGTCTGTCTGGCTATTACTGCTATGCCCTTACCTCGTCAGGCTATGGAGGATAAGCTGATCTGGCATGACACAAGTGATGGGATTTTCACTGTGAAGTCTGACTTATCATCTGGCTGTGTTGATGGACAAACAAAATGGGCGGTGGAGTCCGACTGTTAGTTGGATGGACAGACAAAGCTGGATCAGGTTGTGGGATTCTTCCATTCCTCCAAAACTGAAGGTCCTCTTATGGAAGCTTCTGCACCGTTTCCTCCCCACTACTTAAACCCTCATTGACAGGAAGGTCCAGGTACATCCCCGGTGTCCGGTTTGGTGGGCGGCGTCTGAGTCTATAGAGCACCTTTTTTGAAATGTCTAGTGGCTCGAGCGTTGTGGGATCATGCTGGTCTGGACCATGTTGGGCAAGGGCTCCCTCGCCACACTTTCCCTCTCTTTCTCAAAAGGCTGTTGGCTATCGTCTAGAGTCCGCATCAAACGATGGCCGTAGTGGCTGTCCTATGGCAAATTTGGAAATCCCGTAACTGGGTTGTTTTTGAAGTCAAATAGTTTGGGATTCCAGCTCTTATGAGGCGGTACCATCAGAAGTTGAATGAGTGGACTACTCTACCTCAAGATAAAGTGGTCAATAGCTCGATAGCTGGGGGAGGCGGTGTGGTCCTGACTGTCCTGGGGCTTTTGTCTGTAGGTGGGATGGTGCAACTAGGCGGGGGTCGCATTCTGTGGGGGGTATCGTCATTCTGGACTAGGGTGGTGAAGTCATTTGCGCTTCAAGTATCCAATTCCATGGGATTGATGATCCAAAGATTGTGAAACTTTTGGTTCTCCGGGAAGCGATCTTGTGCTGCCGCCAAAGGAGGTTCCCGGTGGTACGGTTTGAAGGGGATGCCAAGGTGGTAATAGACCGGCTCAACCAAGCACATGATTGTGATAGCGGAGCAAATACCATTTTCCAGGAAGTGTTGTCATATTTGGCTGATCATGAAGGCTTCAGTGTTCGCTTCGTTGGTTGGCATATCAATAGGGTAGCCCACTTGGTGGCTCGCAAGGCCCTTTCTTTGTACCCGATAGCTTGTCGTTCTTTTGATTTCGTGGCCTGGTTGAGGCTCATGATGTAATTACCTATTTGTTATTGTCAATATATATATTATTATCTTTTGTTAAAAAATACAAATTAATTAAGCACGCAGTTGGTGATCAATTAACGATCTTATGAGCTCCTGAGATAAACGTCTAAAGTCATGAATCCCTCTGCTATAGCATCTTGGAACATGTTCAGGTTGACACCACCATTGAAATCGGAACCGTAGGTCAAGGTCCATACGATGGTTGAACCTGGCAGTTGGGACAATCGTTCATCGACAGCGGTTCGACGTTTATGGCCAACGAGGCCGAGCGAAAGAACCTGCCCACAAAGGCACCATCAGGCTTGAACCTAGATTCAATGGTTCGACTCATGTGGTCAATCCGGGTGATTTCCTCGGTCGCCCATGAAACCATACGGGAGATGGCTGCATCATATGTAGATAATAATTAATTATATATTAAAAAATATAATAATTAAAATGACGAGTCTGATTGGTGTAGTACTCCTGGAATATAATATACTTCTAGTGAGATATCTCTATCTAGATAATTAATTAAACCAAGTTTGCGATATGATAATATACCCTAACATCTAATGGATAAACCTCAAGCCTCAATTCTCTAAATCCCAATCCAAAATTCAATTTAATAGAAAATAATAATTGACTATTGAGATTGGTCGGCTCATCGAAGTGCATCTAACGGCCAGATCATCAGAAATATACTATACTCCTAGAGTATACCAATCGTTACCATAAAATCACTAATAAGTACTTACCATATCCATAAGTGATCTCCCGAATCGAAACGGGTGTAACACCGTCTCGGTTGGTCACCCGGATGGCTTGATACTGCTCATGCATGTCTGCCGGGTACACATATGTGCCATCGCAAATCGCTGTAAAAACATCGTTGGCCGACGAAGCCATCGGGATTCTTCTTCTACTGTCGATGGACATGGTTGGGACATCGGAGAATCCTATCTTTCAAGACGAACAAGGGCTTGGTCTGGTGGTAATACCACTAGCCTAGAACCTGGAGGTCCCAAGTTCGAATCCCTTAAATAGTACCTTAATAACAAAAAGAAACCTATATCACCCTTATAAAAAAACAAAAACTTCCCTTTGATTTCCGACTGGCCATTGTCTTGATAAACAAAGACCCTCTCCCCTTATAATTAATTTTACATATTCATCGTGAAAATGAAACGAAAAATGGACTGCAGCACGTGATTCAGAGTTGGCCTTCTGAGGAACCCGCCAACTAGCTTGAGCGGTTTGCCCATCTCTTCCTACATGCTTTCACTTGGGAAGTATGGATGAAACAAAATGGAAGGATGTTCAATGACAAGAGGCACAGGTGGCAGTCCATTTTTCACAAGATCGGGTGATGTCTTCTCAGTTGGGTGGTGGCAGGGGGTCTGTTCAGTGATTCTAGCAAGATTGAGTGGCTTAGGCTTATGTCCGAAGCCTGCCCTGTTATCGTGATTTGTGATTTGATCTCTGTTGATCCCCTTTTTTCTTGTTTGTGTAACTTTTGGAGCGTGTTCCTTTGTTTTTCTAGGATGGCACCTCCTGCTACGCTGCCTTCCTCATTTCTTTTGACTTTTTGGTTTATGTATTGAGGGGTTCATCGCTTGTGAACTCCTTGTGGCTTAATTTTGTTCTTTCTATTTTTAGCAATAAAATTTTCACCCTTATAAAAAAAAGTTGTTAAAAAGATTTCAATGCACCTATCAATTGGCCAATAATCAATTTGTTCATCATTAAAATTTAAAGGACTATATTTTTTTTATTTTATTTTAATTTATAATTCAATTCTTTCTGAAAAAAATATATCAATCATGTATATCGAAATTACATCCACTTTGAACGAAAACAAAAGTATACTGTGTAGAGCAAGATTGTCAAACCCTTATCCTAACATGGATTCAACCGGGTCCAACAGGAACTGGCCATCTAAACGGCCTGAATACACACAGGTTTCGGAGTTTTGGAAAAATGTCAAAAGCGGGTTCAACTAGGGGTGTGCAATGGTCCGGTCTGGGATCGGACAGTAGTGGACCAATAAGAAATTTGGACCGGAACATACCGAACCAAGTATAATGCGGTTCGATCCTTGGTCCACAAGAATTTTACAATTACTGAAGAAATGATGGAACGAACCTGATATTTGGACCGGACCTGACCAAATGGACTGAATGCAATAATGGTCCAGTTTTTGATACTAAGATGTCTTTTATTAATGGACTACGCTTCTTATGAGTTTGGTCCGATCCGGACCGAACAGAGCAGTTGTACACCCCTAGATTTAACAGTTAAATTTGGCTCGGGTAAATTGTGTCTGTTTCTGTTCGTGGTTGGAGTCCAAGGACTAGGTACAGTTATTCAATAAATAGTGACCATTGCGATAGAAATCCTTCAAATTTCTGTCGTAGGTTGCACCAGTTTTTTAGGGGGTCGTTCTGGTTCCAAAACCCTTCACTAACCAGGGATAAAGTCGAAACAGAAAAGGGTTGCTCAAGGTATTGAGTATAAGAGTGGTATTCTGATTCATCTGATCAAAGGACATCTCCTCCAAGAAAGAAAAGAGGAAAGAAGCAACTGCGTACTGCTCTTAACTCTAACCCTCTATTTCGAAGGTTCAGAAATAGAGAGAAACTCTCCTCCCTGTGAATCCCCGTCACCGGCCAAGAGGTATGGCCGAACGAACTCTCTATAACTACACGAGATCTCAAGCTGCGAACATTGGTTCCATCTTCATCCATAAGGCCCATGCAAGAGGAGCATGAGACACATAAATTGGATTATGCAAGAAAACTTGTGAAGAGTTGTCTCATTTGAAAAACTAGAGTCATATAATACATTGTTGGCTTGTCTGGTTTAATTCATAGAGTTGGCAATGGATACACGTATATTTTTTTACAGTGCAATCCTATAGGGTGTAGTACATAGATTCAATAACAAGATCATCTTCAACCAGAATGCTCAGATAAAATTCATGTCATGCTCATTGATCAGAATGTTCAGACTCCAGACGTACAAAAATATAATCCATTATTGGCTACTGTGTCTTCCTTGGTAACTCACTCATCTCATGAAAATAAAAAACGAAACCAAGCCAATAAGTATTGAGAGCGGAGAGCATAGACCGATGGAAAAGAAAGAAGCTAAGTCTATTAGCTATTACGTGCTCCATTTGAATATATTCTCATTTTCCGTGAGTTCATACATGAATATATTTGATTTGTTACTAAATAGTGAGTTAGAATTGGATCAGAACATAATACAAAGACTTGTTTGTTAACAAGAACTAAAGTATTTCTTAATCCTTCGTATATCTAATCAAATAAGAAGGCCAGAGAAGAAAACAACTTAGCTGGTTGTTGTGGTGTTGTCTTTATATATGCACTGGAAGAATATCTAAATATGATAATACCAAATATTGTTTGGTTTACTAATTCAAACTTGGCTCCCTGCAAATGAAATTGCAGGGAACTTCATTGATGCAATTTTTGTTCAAGTTAAGCGGGCGGGAGGTTGGTCGGATATGGTCACTTTAAGGCTTTTATATATATATATATATAGCTATGGCATCCACACACTAGCCATCAAATATTCCAAAACCCTAATCTCTGACCATCTCCAGAAGAGAATATTAGCTAGCTAGCATGGTTCTTCTCTTTGATTTCAAGTCAGACAAGCACTTCGTTGCTTCCTCTGACAAAACTACTCTCAAAGTCTACGAGTTGAGCAACCCTACCATTTACCCTTCTTACATCCGAAAGGCTCACTGGAAGGAAGTTGGCAACATCATTCCCCGTGATCACGATGATAGTGACGAAGGAGGCGACGACGACTACAGTAGTGCAGGAACGAATGAGTCATCCTACGCCGGGCTGATGTTCTTCGACGGCCAGGCGCAGATCGTGGGAAGGGAGGCACTGGCTAAGCTAGCCCAGCACCTCGCTCGGCTGCGGCTGATGGTGAGCCCGCAAGGGCACTGTTTCCAAGATGTCACCGAGCTGGGGGAACACAGAGACTTTGGGATTCACTATCTCCGTCTGAACGATCTTTTCAACTGGCCCCTTCACGGGATCGGCATGGCCAGCGTCACCACGTGGCCACGTTGCGTGCTGAAGTACGCCATCCCGAGCCGGGTGAAGCAGCAAACGCCCACAACGTCGTCGACGTCAGGAGGGGTGAGCAAGGAGAAGTACGAGGAGTTGAAAAGGACGGCGAGGAAGAACGAGGAGAAGCTGAGGGAGGAGATGGAGGAACAGGACGAGGAGCTGCAGAAGCTGAAAGAGGAGATGGAGGGGGCGAGCGAACAGCACGAGGCGGAGCTACGAGAGCTGGAGAAGAAGAAGGACGAGGAGCTGCGAAGGCTGGCGAAGAAGAGGAAGGACGAACTGGAGACGTTGAGAAAAGACAAGGCCGATGACGATGAGCGCCGCAAGCAATTGTGGGCAGTAACGGCTACGACGCGATTCTTTTCGAGCGACGCGGTTCTCAGAAGCAGAAGACGGCCGGTGCCGCCGGATACGTGGTCCATAAATTATAGGCGTACGCCATATATTTCACACAGGGACTCTACTATCATTTATGAGCCATACGCCATTGGAGCCTCCACGTGGTTCCCGAGGATGTTTGTGCAGATGGTGGATGAGGAGCCCGGAGATTGGGCGCCTCCGCCTAGGATTCATCTCTTGTGTATGGGTTACGCGTTCGACAAGCATAACTGGTGGTTCGTGAAGACGACCCACCCGGACTGCGGCGTGACGATGATTGCTTACTATGACGGCAACCGCACCTGGTTCGATGGGCTCGGCCACCCTACGCCGCTTCCTGTTGCTTTGACATATCGTTTTGATACCGACACGCCATTCTTCTTTGTTCATTTGGCTGACAGGTACAAGCTTGCGTTCATGTACCGGGGCACATCGTGGGAACGTTGTTAGTGCTAGCTACCTACCGAGTTTCCTGTTTGTTTCATTTTGGGATGAGGAGCTGCGTTGCTGTTAATTATGTTTCCATGTTGGCTTAGGAATGTAATTAAGTTTTTCTCTATAGAAACCTATAAATATTGTACCACGGTGTAGCATTATTGGCTTTAAGCCGTGACAATACAAAAAATCCGAGAAGGAGATACTCTCCGTGAACTAGTGTCATCCTAACGATACCACGTTAAGAAATCATGTGTGTTCGTGTTCTTCATTCTCGTTATTCGTCTGTTAAATTGACACTATGCTACCCCTAATCACTAAATTGGCAGTAGCTGCCTCCAGACCCCAATCCCTAATTTGATAATTTTGCATGGGGTGCGGATAGCATAACAACACTCCTGATGTTGTTATTATAACAACAAAATTCATTAAGGGTAAATAAGTAAATTAACAAAAAATCAAATTAAAATTAAATAAATAATCCTCAAACCCTAATCCGCTCCGTCTATCTCCTATGCTATTTCTTCCGTTCTTCCCCATCTCCCGTTGTTCCTTCTTTCTTTCACCACCGGTGTCGCAAATCCTCTCCGTTGGAGCTCTCTCTTCTCCACAACAACCGCGGCGACGACAGCGGCGCCGCGCCACAAATCCGAGTTCCTCGCTGCTCGCTTCATCCTCCGTCGAAGCTCTCCGTCAGATCTCGTCTGTCCTCATCTGCTTCACTTTTTTGTTGCTGGTTTTTCTTCATCGACGACAGATCTAGATGGCAATGGAGAGGGCAGTGGTCGTTGGAGCACAAATAATGGCATTGAGCGCCGCCGCGACTTCGTCGCTAACGTCTCTAGCCTGGACGACAACGGCTCCAAAGGCCGCACATCTCAGCCCTGTATCCTGTTAGAGAGTGGTATAAGATCCAGCATAACCTTCTCCCAAGAACTCGAGTTATTGGGACCGACTGGTTCATGACATGGTATCAGAGCCTTCTGTGACCGAGAGGTCTTGTGTTCGATTCCCGGTGACCCCCATTTGTTAAGCACATGGTATTCTTGTCTTCAGACCTGTGCAAACTTCAAGCCCTTGTGAGTGGCTTTCATTTGAGGGGGCGTGTTAGTGTTGTGGTATATGATCCACGATTGAACCTCTCCCAACAACTCGAGTTATTGGGATCAACTGGTTCTTGACATGGTATCAGAGCCTTCTGTGACCGAGAGGTCTTGTGTTCGATTCCCGGTGACCCCCATTTGTTAAGCACATGGTATTCTTGTCTTCAGACCTGTGCAAACTTCAAGCCCTTGTGAGTGGCTTTCGTTTGAGGGGGCATGTTAGAGAGTGGTATAAGATCCAGCATAACCTTCTCCCAAGAACTCGAGTTATTGGGACCGACTGGTTCATGACATATCCTCTCTCCGCTTCCAATCGATCTCATTATGAGATCCCTCCACCTCTTCTCCGTCGCTTCCGCTTGGTCCTGAGGTGGAATCCAAGCCTGTCGATCTGGAAGTAGCATAGTAGTGTCTGTGAATATATACATATATGTACCTTGAGATGGAGGGCGATTTTGGTCATGTTATCGACGTATTCGGGAAGAGGGACGTGAGGGCCGAGCCCTGTTTGGTGAAGGTGAATTGAGTCATTGCCGCCGAAGTAAACGACGACGAGGGAAGGCTGGACGTCGGCGTCTTTGGGGAAGACTCGATGGAGAACTTGGAGAGCTCTGAATCTTCAAGGCAGGAGATATTTGGGCCTATGAATCTTCCCTTTGTCTCTTGATCCTATGTGTTGTTTTTTCGCCTCTCTCTTTCTCTAGATCTCAAAAAACTTCATGATTAGTTATAGTGGCTAGCTAATAATTAGGTTTGGTTGGTTCTTATGCTATTAACTAGCTTAATTACGATCAGGTTGCTTACGATGATGAGAATGATTGGTATTAGCTAGCCTTAATCGTTACTCCTTTAGTGCTCATTGTTTGTAAGCTTCTTATTTTGTCATTTCTGGCATTTGGATTTTCTGATGTGATTGCTAAATAGATGCGTAAGCTTTTCTCTTGGTTTTTGCATTTCAGTCGTCACTCATTAGGGATCCAAATTTCAGAAATGTGACTGTGAGTGACCGGTTTCTTGGTTTTTGCATTTCACCCGTGATAAAAAAAACATAATAGAAACCTCTTAATGTAGCCCACAAATTCCCTGAAATATTTCAGAAGCATCACAAAGCAAATCACAAATATTAATAATGCACACTATAAACCTCCTAATGTAGACCACAAATCTCATAAAACATACCAGAAACCTCACAAAGCAAATCATAAATATTTCATTAGCACACCAAAAACCTCCTATTGCAGACGACAAACACAATAAAATAAACCACAAAAAGCATACCAAAAACCTCTCAATGCATACCACAAATCCCTTAAAACAAACCAGAAACCTCACAAAGCAAACCATAGAATTTTCAAATGCACACCAGAAACTTTTTAAATGCAAACCAGAAACACAATAAAGCATACCAGAAACACCCTAATGCATACCACAAATCCACTAAAACATACTAGAAACCCCACAAAGCAAACCACAAATCCATTAAAACAAACCAGAAACCCCACAAATCAAACCATAAAATTTCCGAAAGCACACCATAAACTTCTTAATGCAAACCAGAAACACAATAAAGCAAACCAGAAACCTCCTAATGCATACTACATATCTCCTTAAACAAACCACAAACCTCACAAAGCAAACCACAACATTTGCGAAAGCACACCAGAAACGTCCTAATGCAAACCACAAACATACTAAATCAAACCAGGAAAAAGCAAACCGGAAACATCCTAATGCAGACCACAAAAATATTAAAACAAACCAGAAACCTTTCAAAGCAAACTACAAATTTTTTGAAAGCAAACTAGAAACTTCTCAATGCAAACTAGAAACACGATAAAGCAAACCACAAAAGGCATACAAAAATATGAGAAACCAAACCATAAATCTCACAATGTAGACCATAACATCCAGTGGTCGTTGACCGTTGACCGGTCAACGAAAACCGTTGACCAAACTACGATGACCGTCAGTGAGTAGATTTTGGCGCCGATAGGCATATTCCGGCCCCGATCACTAGATTCTGATGCCGGTAAGCATATTCCGACACCAGTAAGCATATTCCAACGCCGGTAAGCATATTCCGACGACAAAAAGCATATTCCGGTGACTAACGACCAGTTTCCGGCGACCAAAATTTTGGGCAGGAAATAAAAAAAAAAATTTTTTATTATTATTTAAACATTTTTTTCATAATGACAATTATATCCCTGCTTTGATTTTACACTAGGTCAACTTAGCTAATAAAAAGTCATCACAACCCTGTCTTCCAATTGGTTGGAGGCTAGTGTTGTCATCCTAACAACAAAATATGTGTTGTTACAGTAACCAGTCCATTTTGCCTGCTTTGCCCTAGCCCTTGCTCTGCTCCCCTCGTTGAAGAAAAAAAAAAAAAAAGAATCCCGCCGACGACCTCCTTGTCGTCACCCACCTCTTCATCTCCCTCCATCTTCAATACAACCTCCGACACCAAAAGGCGCCCATCTCTTCTTCTCCCTCCATCTTCAATCCCACTCGCTAGCGCAACCTCCATCGCCCTACCCCTTGCACTGCTCTGCCCGTCGATGACGCGGGGGATTCTGCTACTGCTGGGTTCTTTGCGGTCGAGGAAGGAGCCGGAAGGTCGTCGCGGTTGAGGAGGAAGGAGGGTGAGAAATCGAAAGCCAGAAAGTGATGGGATTTGAAGCTTGATCGAGAAGGGAAGAAGATGAAGAGAAGGCAGTTGTGGCGGCGATGGGCGACGACTCCCAGGATGAACGACGACGACTCTCAGGGGGAACGGCAGCGACGGGAAAAAAATCCTAGGGTGAAATTTGTTACATATTGGAATTATTTTAGGGGCAAAAATGTCAAATTATCTAAATTAGAGCGACAAGTTTTAAAAGTTAGGGTGTCAATTAGTACCTCTCGCATCCATTTAACAATGATGGAACTATTAGAGAGAAATCAAACAATAACAGCCTAGATTGGAAGACGGATCTAAAAAAGCAGCCAATGAAAAATGGAAACTATCCGAAATCATCAACTAGTGTTGCGGATGGTAGACGAGGAAGATTATAGAATCTATCATTGGCAGTCCAGTGATGCTACTTTAGATCAGTCACAAATAATATAATGATAGTTACCGTGCTGGTTGGCCGTATGATATAATGTATAATTTTAAGGTGCAAATATGTTGTGTAGTGCCATCAAACATGAAAACAAAACGAGCAAATGAATACAAACGAATTTAATAGACTGAAGATATGTAACTAAATGGCATTTCGGAAAAATGGATCCTAAAATCTGTGAAGGTACCGTACCTCGTTGGAATTTGTCAAAAATGGACCCGGAAAAAATCCACCCAAATCGGTGCATAATGGACTTAATCATCGTTGAAGAATAGCCTCAGGCCGAATCCGTGATCTGTAGCCTTCAAAATCCAAAGAAAATGGCCTTTCGAAAAAAAATCTCCCAAAGAATTACGAAAATGCCATCACAAAATAAATTGGCCCAATTCGGTGCTTAACGGGCTTAATCATCGATGGAGAATAGGATCAATATAGTTCATTATCTGTGGCGAATAGCCTCGGGCCGAATCCATGTTATGTAGCCTCCGAAATTGAAAGAAAATGACATTTCTGAAAAATCGGCCAAAAGCTGTGATGGTACCCCTTTGGAATTTGACAAAAATGGGCCCGGAAGAAATCTATCGTAATCGGAGCTTAATAGACTTAATCATCGTTGAATAATAGCATCGGGCTGAATCCGTGATCTGTAGCCTTCAAAATCCAAAGAAAATGGTCTTTCGAAAAACAATCGCCCAAAGAATTACGAAAATGTCATCCCAAAATAAATTGGCCAAATTCGATGCTTAATGGGCTTAATCATCGATGGGGAATAACATCAATATAGTTCATTATCAGTGGAGACTAGCATTGGGCCGAATCCGTGATCAGTAGCATCCGAAATAGAAAGAAAATGGCATTCAGAAAAATCGCCCGAAATATGTGATGGTACCCATTTGGAATCTGCAAAAAATGGACTTGCAAGAAATCCACCTAAATCGATGCTAAAATGACTTAATTTTCGTTGAAGAATAGCCTTAGGCAGAATCCATGATCTGAAGCCTTCAAAATAAAAAATGGCCTTTCGAAAAATAATCGCCAAAAGAATTACGAAAATGTCATCCTAAAATAATTTTGCCCAATTCGGTGCTTAATAGGCTTAATCATCGATTGAGAATAAGATCAATATAGTTCATTATCAATGGAGAATATCCTCGGACCAAATCCGTGATCTGTAGCCTCCGAAATTGAAAGAAAATGACATTTTCGAAAAATCGCCTGAAATCTATGATGGTACCCCTTAGAAATCTGCCAAAAATGGACCCGGAAGAAATCCACCCAAATTGCTGCTTAATAGACTTAATCATCGTTGAAGAATAGCCTCAGGCCGAATGAGTGATCTGTAGACTTCAAAATCGAAAGAAAATGGTCTTTCGAAAAATAATCTCGCCAAAGAATTATGAAAATGGCATCCAAAATAATTTGGCCCAATTTGGTGCTTAATGGGCTTAATCAAGGAACAGGAATAAGATCAATATAGTTCATTATCTGTGGCGAATAGCCTCGGGCAGAATCCGTGATTTGTAGCCTCCGAAATCGAAAGAAAATGGCATGTCGGAAAAATCGCCCGATTTTTTTGTGATGGTGCACCCGTTTGGAATCTGCCAAAAATGGACCCGGAAGAAATCCACCAGAATCGGTGCTTAAAGGACTTAATCATCGTTGAGAAATAGCCACAGGCCGAATCCGTGATCTGTAGCCTTCAAAATCCAAGGAAAATTGCATTTTGAAAAAAAAAATCGCCCAAGGAATTACGAAAATGTCATCCGAAAATAATTTGGCCCAAGGACTGTTGGGCTTGTCTCGGAGATCATACATTAACCGAATCCTAGAGACATACAACATGACTGAATGCTCTGCAAATGTCGTTCCAATTCACAAGGGAGATAAATTTAGTCTCAAACAATGTCCAAAGAATGAATTGAAACGCAAGCTAATGGAACACATTCCTTATGAATCTATTGTTGGAAGTTTGAATTATGCACAAACTTGTACCAGACCAGACATCAGTTTTGCTGTCGGAATGCTGGGCAGGTATCAAACTAATCCGGGAGTAGATCATTGGAAAGTTGCAAAGAAAATACTAAGGTATCTGCATGGAACAAAAGACCACATGCTCACCTTTAGGAGATCTGATCACGTTGAGGTGATTGGATATTCATATTCAGATTATGCTGGATGTGTAGACACCAGGAAGTTTACTTTTGGCTATTTGTTCCTTCTAGTCGGAGGGGCAATTTCATGGAGGAGTGCGAAGAAGTCTGTTATTGCCACATCCAATATGGAAGCTAATTCATAGCTTGTTATGAAGCTACGAATCATGGTTTATGGCTGCGAAATTTTATTTTTGGACTTGGAATCGTCGACACTATCGCCAAACCACTGAAAATTTATTGTGATAATTCCGCAGCGGTATTCTTCTCTAAGAATGACAAGTATTTGAAGGGTGTTAAGCATATGGAGTGAAATACTTTGTCATTAAGGAAGAAGTTCAGAAACAAAGGGTGTCGATCGAACATGTCGAAAGGATGGGGATTATAGGATGTCATGACTAAAGTTATTTTATGTTTCATGGATTGACACTTTGAGCTCATTTATTTTGTTTTTGGAACAAATTTATCAATCTTGTTTTTATTTATTATGACTGGTATATATACATTATGCATTATGTGAACAAAACAAGATTTTGTCTTTAGAGAAGACATTATTGTTGGACCATTATGAGTACCTTGTTATGTTTCATATTGAGCATTAGACTGGTTTTGTGGTACATGGAAGGGACTATGTCGATAAATTGATATACAACCGTCATGATCCTAATCTAGCTTTCATACTTGATTGTGACTTTATGGACCAAATATTATGATGGCTTTATCTTATGATGTGCACACTTATGTTTATTGTTAGACCATATAATGACACACGGGCCAAGTGGGAGAATGTAAGCCCATTCCCGTAGGTCACAAGGTAATAATTGTGGCCCAAGTGTAATTATCACTTAATGGTTTAATATATAAGGTAAATCTTATATTTATTAGGTTAATGAAAGGTAAATTCCTAATATACCCTGATGGTGGGCAGTGGCGGAGGCAGCATTTCAAACCACCCCTGTCCTCTTTTCATAACTTACATATATAAGTATCTAATAAAAGAATTATTTAATAAAAAATAATTATATCCAAATAATTCATTCATAAATTAAAAATAACCAATTATACTATCATACTTTTCGGAAACAACTACGAAGGAATTTCATATAGTGAAAGAAGCGCAAAAAAATTCGTTGTCTACACTATTATATAAGTCTCTTTCAATGTATCTTACTAAACAAGTATTAGCAAACTGGTCGCCAAATCGACTTGGAAACTTGTTCTTAATATAATTCAAAGCCGAAAATGCTCTTTTTACACTTGCAGTTGTAATTGGTAGATCAAAACTAGTGGGATTGCCGTTGTCGCTAGACAATTCCAGGGTTGTTGGGGACAGATCGAATAGGCATAAGGAGAAAAGAGACCCGATTAGTTCTTTATTGCAATTGGAATTTCGTTTATTGTATAATAAATTAATTTTATGTCAATTTTGGACAAGTAATGAGTTGTGTTGTAGTGACAAAGTACTCTAATACTACCTATATGTGTTGTGTTCCATCACCAATATAAATATATATGGCGTATTTTTGTTCCATCGAAATTTACCCCTGTCCCGGGACAAGGCCAAAAGGCTCTGCCTCCGCTACTGATGGTGGGTCTGTATAAAGGAACCCTATGATTGGTCCTCTCTCAACCCATTACGTAGAATTTCTTAGCCATCACATAAATCTCTAAACCTAAAACCTAAAGGGATCAAGAGGGAGAAACTCAATTCCGGTGATTACTACTCAAGCTATTACCGCCGCTCTCGTCATGGATCGAGGTAGGTTTCCTCGATTTATTATCAATTTGTAAAATCATCTAATTTTAAGATCCATGCTATTATGATTTATGTTTACAGCCGCACCCAATTTTTACTACTCAAGCTACTGCTGCTTGCCTCCATAAGCAGAAGCAAGCGAAAGGTAGTGATCATCATCCTGATAACTGTTTTACTCGCCATTTTTAGACGGGTTGATTGAATTGCTACTCTGTCACTTTCATCAGGCTTTCCGGTTTGAGCTATTAGTAGAAAACACTCGTTAGATTACAACTGATGGAAAGGCCCGATAGAGAACCAAACAAGCTGGCTTGCTAGAAAGTAGAAATACACACATAGATATAACTTTCTGTTTTTGCAACCACTTTTAATTACCCCATACCATTTACTACCCACTGTTAAACATACATAACACAACAACAACAACAAAAAATCTTTGTCAATAAACTCTCACACCAGGCAAAACTAGGACACAATATATAGGTTACTTTTCATTACTTAAAGAGGCAAAACCCAATTCTTGGATGGACGGTATACATTAAGTAGTTGTCAAACATATAGAGTGGAGAATTTTTTTTCTTCCTTCTCAGCTGGCTTTGGGCTTGGAGCAGGTCTTGTTGGCAACAGAGTAGCAACTCTCCAGTTCAACCAGCTGCAGGATCTCTTTCGTCTTCGCCAAATACATGGTGTGTCCTTGAATCAGATCCGTTACATCAATCTACCATAATAACAATAATAACTTGTTAGCATGTTGAAGAGTAGCGCGTTAGACCAGATTAAACGATAGAATTTCGCAATCGAGTGATGCAATTCGAAGATACCATTAGTCCTCGACCGTTAATCATTTCTAATTTCGTAATGATCATAATTTGCTTACATTCTCGATTCCAGGAACTTCAATGGGCTGAATGCCAGCCAACCCTGTGGAGGCCAGGCTTGCACGGAAAGTAACCCCTAGCGTCCAGTCATTCGTTGAGTATACATTCACAAACCTTCCAGCCACCATCTAATTTTCCCATAAGCCAAATATAATTAATTATATTATCAGAAAATTCTAATTAATTAAACAAAATTACGTACCTTTCTGGCAAGTGCCCATTTTTCGCCTTGGATGGCAACTGGTGCACCAAGTAGAACCACCCTTTCCACCAATCCACCTGCAAATTTTATTCATTTGTATCAATTACGGTTAATCAGAACTAACCCAATAATTAAGCTAGCTACAGTTTTTTTAATTAGTGATGATCTAGTGTAGTTAATTAAAGTAAATCCCAAAGGGGTTAGTTGATATTCCTACCGTTGTCACCGGGTGAGGCAGCCAGATGCTGCAGGCACTTGAAGATAGCTCGAGCTCCAAGTGAGTTGCCGATCAGTGTTACAGGCCTGAAAACAAGATTGAACTTTGCTAGTTAATTACTTATACTATGGATTAACTTCCCATCTAGAATCGGAATTAACAAATAATGATGCTAATTACCTGTTGCCATGCATGCCCTTCATCAACACCTCAGCAAGCATCAGTCCTGCTTTATCAGCCCTAAATCAACAAGACAAAAAGAGGGGGAAATCGGGTGATGTCTCGTTACTACAACAAAATAATCATTTCGTGTTTGTGACACTGGCTAATCGAATGTTTATTCAAACGATTTCAAATTTGTGTATCAGAAATTCTAAGTTCGTTTCGAACCTGTCAATAGCGACTGCCCATTTCGTGTCGATGAGCTCAGTAGCTCCAAGCATGGCTGCCGGCAGAGCTAGTGCCACAACTAACGTGCTCAACACAGTCAACATTGCACCTTGTTTCATCATCTCCATTGCAGCCTCTACGACATGCAAAAAAAAAGGGTTTTTTTTACATAAGTTTCTACCCCCCCCCAAAAAAAAAACAAAGCACATATTAAATTAAGATTAATTGGGTTTAGGGTTCAAGCACTAACTCGATGAAAGCCAGTCCTCTACAGCAGTGCTAAACTCGATCAAGTTCTTCGACTCCCACCGCACGATGTACCTCTCCATGTTGTCGTTAATGCCTTCAAATGGCTTCTTAAAATCGTTCTCATTGAGAACATACCCGTTCATAAAGATTTCAACTCCTAGGCGCTGCCATGGTTAGATGTAATGAATCATCAAAATAATCCGATCCGCGTTGGCACAATCAACATACGAAGATAACCAAAAGAACCAACGGAAGAATCGAAAAAATGAAGAAGCTTACGCCTTGATTGGCACTGTCTCCATGTGCTTCAATGTCAAACTCCTCGAGTCCTCCTACTCTTTTTGCCATTTTGCTCCCCGTCAGGCTCATTCCAGCAGCTGCCGACCAGTATTAACACACATTGTTAATTTATTGTTCGAATCAATCGAACCATATAGCGAAGAAAAAACCATGAACCGGTTTTCTTTTAATTCAAAAAGATCGATATGTAGAATTCGAGCAAGTGATTTGTGAAATCTGCGCGAGAAAATACATTTTGAATTTTTTTATCAGATCATTGAATTTTTTTTTTCTCTTGAAATCTCTTCAATATTTATTCTTATACGCAAAATACGTGGAAAATTAAGGTTTTTGAATATGAACCAATCGAGAACTTTGCCCTGTGTAATTTCAAAGTGCAAACTCCATATTTTTACACATCCACGTTCTAAATATTCTTCGAGTATGTGAAAATCATAGCTAGTTACCTCCAAATGAAGCAGCAACAGCAACAGACCCTGTAGTGCTAGCAAGAGCACCTCCAAGGACCGGGGCGAGTGCAGCCACTCCATGTGCAATTGCTGGAGCAGCAAGGCCGCCGGTGGCGGCCATGAGCGCTCCGCCGGTCAAAGCGGCTGCGCTGACCATCCCCACGCGCTTGCTTTTCTCCCACGCGCCTTCGGTGACCGTCTTGTCTCCTTCGTTTGCCTTCGCCAGCAGCTCCATCAGGGAGCTGGAAACCATCGACTCCATTGCTTCCTACATCAAAACGCAGGCACAAAAAATTAAGCCCAAGCCCAAACAACTCGTGGGCCCAAAAAATGAAATGTCGGTCCAGAGTTTACCATTTCATTCCAATTGATAGCAAGCCAGCAGGCCAAAAGCCTGAGAGCAGCTCTGTGGCGAGCGTCATAGCCTTCTCTCTGCTTGAAGAATTTACCGTTGTCTTTAACACTATCGGCAAGGCAAGCTGAGAGCAGCTCATAGAGCACTGTAACTTTCCTCTGGTAGCTCACTACCTTCACCTCGTCCATGGCCATCTCGGCCCCCACGACGCCGGTCTTCACCAGTGTATTTGCCGGCCCGGCTGCCATCACGCCCAGTGGCGAGATGTTGCTCTGCTGAGTCTCTGCACACAATGAAACCGTTACGAATCGATTATGTGACGAAGAATGGAAATTTTACAGTGAGACGGTAAAAAAGGTGGGAATTTTAATTTTTTTACTCGTATCTACGGTGGAGGCAGGGGATTTGTCCATGGCTTGGACAGTGGCGTCAACGTTCTTGGTCAAAGCTTGTTCCTTTCCCAGCCTGTCCATTGACCCATCCCTATCCTCCGACAACAATTTCATGTACTGTAAAAGCAGAAAGAAAAAGGAAAGGGTTTGATTGAGATTTGAGAAGGTACTTTTAGAGTAAAAACAAAAACAGAGGATGTAAAGGAAATTTGGTCGAACCGATCCAATGTGATGCCTCAATTGGGTAGAAGATCCGGCGGTTTCCTTCAGCCCATCCCATGCCTGAAGCTCCACTCCCAGAAAGCTGTAATTATCATAATTTGGGTTATGGATCATGAAGTCGTACAAAAAATTACCTAATTGGAATTGTCTGGCTTGTCAAGAACCAGTTGATTCCAATAATTCGAATTATTGAGAGAAATTTAGTCGTGAATCTTATATCACACACTAATACACCCATTCAAATGAAAGTCACTCATAAGGTCTTGAAGTTTTCACATGTCCGAATATCATGCGCTTAATAAATGAAGGGCGTGGGGATTCAAACACAAAAAATCTCGATCACAGAAGGTTTTGATACTATGTTAAGAATCAATTGATCTCAATAACTCGAGTTGTTGGGATAAGTTCAATCGTTAATCTTATACCACAAAATAACATGGCGAAGGTTGTTCATGTCACCTGAAAACAGGGAGGAGCAAGCCGGAGTCCTCATGGATCCACAGCTGCGGTTTCTCGGAGACGGAGGTGGAGGTCTTGGCGGTGGTGACGTCGGCGTGGCCGATGGGCTCGCTGTCCAGAGAGAGGAGTGGGTTGGAAGGATTTGTCTGGTGGTTCTGTGACTGGTGAAGCGCCAACGCAAACAGAGCCGCCCCTGCGTATTTCTGGGTCGGTGTTAAAATGTTTGCCTCCATTTTTTTATCTTTCCTTTCTGAAGAAATTACTTTTCTTGTGTTGATTCGATCTGTTGGTTTCGGGGGAAGGGAGCAATCTGAAGTGTAGATGGATGGCTAAGTAAGGAATGAGGATTTAATAATGGGTGGGAGAAGACGGTTAAAGAAATCAAGCTTCACTTCTATATATATCTGTTTGAAAAAATTTACCTTTTCAATTCAAAATCTTGAGGCTTCCCCGTCGACTTCGCTCGTCAAAGAAGAAACAAAAACGGGTCACACGGGAGTTTTTCTTTAGATCAGAGTTGAGAGGAGAGGAGGAAGAAGAAGGTGGCTTCGCTTGGCCTTTGTCCATTCTATCGAGTGTGTGGCAAAATTTTGGCCTGCCCCGTCACCCTCTGCATTGGTGGAAAATGAACTCTGCAACCACGTGTTTCTCTTTGTTGCTTAGACTATCTTCATATCATTGGTCATCTATGGGATGCTAGGTGGCACCATTTTGACGCAATTGTAAGGATGTGGAGATTCTTTCTTATTTAGCAAGATTGCTAATTAGAAAATTCATCGTGCAATATCATATAAGCATTTGAGACCCACTTTATTCATGCATGGAACCAAATACTTTTTTATTTTTTTTCCCCTTCTTTTTTCATCCACAATTGTGCACATATTGCTAAACATTAATTTTTTTTTTTTTTTTATAAGGGTGATATAGGTTCATTTTGTTGCTATTAAGGTACTACTTAAGAGATTCGAACCTGGGACCTCCAGGTTCTAGGCTAGTGGTATTACCACTAGGCCAAACCCTTGTTGGTAAACATTAATAATTCATGTGTTTATGATATTTTTTTAGTTGTTAATAAATTAGAAAAGGCATAAATTATATTTTAATTATATTGATTAGATGACATGAAAAACTAATACAAAGATGTATAGTCAAAGATTGAAGATTCATTCAAAAAATTAGAAAGAAGTACACTAAAAGTACAGGAAGAGATTTGAAATGGATTTGGAGAAGAGGAAGATGGCGAATAATATATTATTTTTGTGTATTTCATTTTGAATTTAATTGAATTTTGTATTTCTTTTTTGTGTATACTAAGTATTTGCGTTTATTGAATGTTCAAAAGTCTATTATTTATTATGAAAAAGTATTGTTAAGAAAAATATGAATTATATGAATATTTTGTAGGTTTCATCAATTGAAATTGCTAAAAAAACTGCAGGATGGAGATGGTTTGAAATGATTGAATGAGATAATTGTTAAAGTTGTTGATGTGGTTGTGGAGTCCATATATGAAACTGCTAACCTATTGGAGGGTTGGAGATGCTCTTAGCTTTTCAATTATTTGTAGAGAGGGTATGGCTCGGGATTATGATTTTGGGCTTAGCCCTAATGCCTACTATCTTAATCCAAACTAAAATATAGCATAGTCTCTAGTCATTGAGTTGTGTGATGGATTGAACTATACAATGTGAAGTAGATATGCACAAATTTCTCTCAAAACGAAGGATAAAATGGGTTTCATAGATAGTTGCATCCCCATACCTCTTCGAGAGACTGAGCGGTTTGGATTGTGGATGACTACAATGCACTAGTTGTTTGTTGGAATTGTAACTCTCTACATAAGGATCTATAACGATCCGTCCTAAATCATACTAATCCTAAAGTGTTGGATGAATTGAAAAGACAATTTGGTCAACCCTGGGGAATGGGGATGGCAATGAGGTGGGCTTTTGGCAAATTTTGTTAAACTCGTCTTTATCTCTATTTTCAATTCATAAACCTATGCACCACGAATCCCCTTGTGAGCGGAAGTTTTTTTTTATCTCCATCATCGTCATTTTTGGAAACCCACAGATCGGCCGACAAATCCAAATCAAATTCTACTTAAAACTAATGTAATTAAATTGAAACACATACTATTTTTAAAGCTAGAATGTTAAACTAAGATTATATATAGTAACCACAAAAAGTATGACAAACATGCCAAACCCTATAAATGCTCTTTTTGGCAGACACATGTTGAATACTTGGGACACATTATTAACAGTGGGGGAGTCTCTATTGATTCCAGTTAGATTGCGGCAATGGAATCATGACCAGTCCCCAGGAATGTTTAGGAATTGAGAGGATTCATAGGCCTAACAGAATATTACAGGAAATTTGTTAGGCATTATGGTCTCATTAGCAAGCTATTAACTGATCTCTTGAAGAAGGATGGGTTCAAGTGGACTCCTATAGCTGACACTGCTTTCCAGTAGCTCAAGAATTCCATGACTCATCTACCAATGGTGGCATTGCCTAACTTCAGCAAAACCTTTACATCGGATACAAATGTCAGTGACTTGAGAGTTAGAGCTGAGTTATCCCAGGAAGGCAGTATTTCTTACCTCATTCGGACTTCAGGAGTTAGACAACAATGACTATCCACCTATGAAAAGGAATATCTGGCAATGCTCCCAGTAATCCTCACAGATCATGAAAGTCTTAAACACCTACTAGGACATAAGGTTCGTACTCATATTCTGAAGAAATCGTTGGTGAAGTTACTTGGATTGAGTAATGAGATCATATATAGGCAAGGGAAGTACAACAAAGTTGCAGATGCCTTATATAGACTTAGCTTACCTAATTCGTGCTATAGGGCCTGCCGCTCCCGCTCGGGAGCGTGGAAACGCGAATTGCCAGCAAATCGGCAACAAATTGCGATCTTAATTTTTCTGGAGCGCGGATTGAATATATTGGAGCGCACTTTTTATGTTGTCTGTTTGGTATAATGTTTAGTTGTAAGTTCTGTTAGGTTTTAGCCTTTAGGTGCTCGGTGCTTGGATTAAGGATCCCATTAGGAAACATATAGGCCTGCTGAATTAAAGTTTTTACATTTTTATCTATAATCATCGTGTAGAGTTCTTATTATTAAAGGATTTGGCCAGGTATATAACTATATATAGATGTATACAAAATATCAAAGATTGTGACTCGCACAAAACTACAACACAAATTAATCCAGACTAGAGTCCAAGTTTTTAAACTCTAGCCGGGTGCAGTATAGAGCAAGTATTTAAATTGTCAACCCGGGCCGGTCCATGTACCCCTACTTCAATCGCTTAAATTGTTATCTAGAAAAACGGTTTTGGGTTTTAAAACTATAAACTAAACTAGCAAGGAAAAGTAAATAATGGAAAAGTCTAGCTAAGCGAGCTTCACCCAGGAGTTGCTTCCCCCTAACTAGCTACCAAGACTCGTTGGATTGGAACGATTGCAATGGGCAAGATAACTGCGAACCGTAGAGGGATGCATATACGGTCGCAGACCACAATCTCAATTGCTAAATCGAGGTAAATATTATAGGTCGTGTCACTCGGCCCTCTCGGTTTAGGCAATCGGTGGTTAACTTACTCCCTCACTCAACTCAAGGGTTGGACGGCTTAATCACGCTTAACCAATTTGCTTAATTCAACATTGAGGTTTTCCCTAAATTAACCTAGTTAGGTGGCTTAAAAAAGCTAAAGGAAAAACAACTCGATTGAGTCTCCCTTGGAAGGGGGATTTTCCTCTCTAAGCTGGGTTAAAGTGGCTAATTAGATTGCAAAGCACCAACATGCACAAACCTAAGGATGCTACGCACAATTATGCACAATCCTTAGGTTGCTAAGCACCAAAATGCACAAACCTAAGGATGCTAAGCACAAAACATGCACAACCCTTAGATTTCTAAGCACAAGCATGCACAATCAACATGAATAATACCTTAATCATTGAATTAAACAATACCCAATGACAATCATTCAATCTAAACAAGTAATTACAAAGTATTAGTTAGGGATCTACAACACCCAAGAGAAAAGAGTGAGTTTCTAGAGAGAGAGGGGAGATTACAAAGAAACCTCCAGATCTTCTTCTTCTTCTTTTTCTTCTTCTTCTTCTTCTAGGCTTGATTCCTAGCTTCCAAACTTGATCAATGCCTTCAATTAAGTTCCAAGATCACTCCCTCTCTCACTAGAACTCCCCTTTAGTGCTTTGGGTTGAAACCCTAGAGAAAGAAAGTGTTCCTTCTCCAAAATCCAGCTCCCCCCTCTCTCTCTGCTGTTGTCTTCATATTTGTCCGAAAGTGACCAGTTCACGGATGCGTTGGCAGTTCACGGCCGTGAACACCTAAACGCGTTCATGAACTCAGTGTTGTCCAAAACGCACAGCTTCACTCTCCTGGATTCATTGTCAATGGCCCCATTTCACGGTCTTAGAGACCGTGAACTCGCCTTGCGTCAGTAACTTCGGATTTGGCCCTGGACGCCTTGATGTTCGCAGTTTGTGGTCCATGTTCACTAGGAGACCGTGAACTTCCTTGCCCGCCCGTGAACTGCGGCTGTTTCCTGGACGCCTTCACTTCACTATTATGGGGCAATTGTCACGGTCTTTAGACTTTTCTTCGGTTTTTGCGCTTTTTGACCTCCAATTATCCCAAAATTCGACCTCGACCCTTCCACACGTGCTAGGACCTGAAACATATCAAAACAAGCACAACATAGCGTGAAATATGTCGAGGAACGATGAAATATTAAGCTAAACGAATAAGAAATGAGGGGTAAAATGTGTACATTTGGGCCTCCAACGTGGGAAGCTCGGGTAAGGGGGAAAATAAAATCAAATAGAACATAATTAATAATTGCTACAACTTTTTTAAAAGAAAAATAATTGAGAAAAGGGTAGATTAGTCATTTCAAGTCTTTTTTAACTGTCATTTTATAGAAATTCTAATAGAAAGATATGTTTTTTGCTATGTTTTGAAAGATAAAGAGTGAAAATGCAAAAATAATAGAAGATTACGTTGTTAACTTGCAATAATAAAAGGATACAAATTTCTATTAATCCTATAAAAATTAGACGAAAATGTGAACAGGGGAAAATTAAATAACAAAAATTCATCTCGCGAGCAATTGCCAACAACCATTCGTCCCCTGCCACATACACAGGTAACAACCAACGACAAACCGAATTAGAATAAAATTTTCAAATTTACAACACTCAGGTGGCCCAGCTAATTTTTGCTCTCTCTCATGTCTCTCTCTCTCTCTCTAACGGTTACTTTCTCTTAGCTCCCTATTGTTCTATTTCCCGTCTACTTTGATGGGACTTCTCCAGCTCT